GTGCTATCAACATCAGTCTCATACTAAACCCAAAACATAGGACTATATCAGCTGTTATGAAGGAAAATAACTAACTCAGCTGAAATCAGAACATCAGTAAACTCCTAATATCTGATAGAATATGTACTCTTATCTGCAGCACTTTCTCTTCTGCAGGTACTTTAACAGCAGGAACAGTAACTATATTTACAACACTGCATATATATATGACTTATTAAACATAAAATAAAAAACCTCACCCCTCTATATGAAAGTATTTTTGGCAGAGCCTTCCCTTCACACACTTACTGTTTGCAGATGATGTATCGAAGTAATACACACATGCTAAGCGACAAAACAAGAGCACATAACCATTACAGACAAATGTATCTACCTACATGTAATACTGGTGTATTATCATCACCACACACTTCAGTGATGAGGTCAGGTTTAGATAAATGAAAGTTCAATGAAAAGTCTGGAAAACTTGTTTACAATGATCCCAGACAAAAGCCTTGCAACTGCAATTCACTGACCTATGTAAACTGATTTGGCTTGCAGATAATCTCCTAGTGAATACTATTGCAAAATCTATAAACACAGATGGCACCAACTGGCACCCTATCTGCAATCTCAGCAGAAGATCAAATAAATACAGAGACTGAATTTATCTTCCCACATCACAGGTAATTCTTTCCAAACAGGTTTAAGGGATTATCATTGAAAGCTGAACCAAGAAAGTCCTGTCACGGCTAACCAAAGTCTCAACCACCCTGAGAAGTCACACTGCTCAAACAAAACAAATTTAAAAACTGTATGGCTTTTAATAAAGTAATGCAACATTCAATTCAGACCAGGCCCTGGTTATAATTGCCACAATCACGATACTGACCATTTCTATTAGCAGTAAACTCATAGGATTTTCTCCTAAAGCACCCTCACAGAAAAACTTACTTGGGATCAAGAGGGATGAAAAGGCTGGCAAGCTACAGTCAAACTTTAAGGTAAAGTATCAGTTGTACTATTAAGGCACAGTATATTATTTTATCTACAATACTTACTGCTATTGATCTGGAACAGAATGACAGCACTGATACTTATTGCAGAATTTCAGAAATTATGTGCTATAAAGGCATATTTGTACGCAATGTCAGGCATCAGCAAGCATGAATATCACTTAGTCAACTCTAAAGCTACTACCGTTTGTATAATTAAAATCCAAAACATATTCATCAGTAAGATGTAAGATACCACATAGAACGCATCAGTCCAAAAATACCTTTACCATCCTTAAGATGACATTAAGTATTAAGACGAAGAAGACTGAAAATACAGCAGTGACACCAATGACAAAGGAGACTGAACAGCTGCTTCAGCAATATTGCTTCATTGATGTTTCTCAGCAGTACAAACTGTTAAAGGTGAAAAAAAATCAGCTAAAATAAGTCTTCCTTGTGTATCCGGATTCATTATAGCATTCTCAGTGGCTGAAACACAAAATTATGCTTTCTTCAAGACATCTTTTGCTCTTTTTATAGTATTTCATTCTCATGGTTCATCATTTAGTTCATATGTTTTCCCCATGGGCTTCAGAGAAACCCTTAAAGAAACAACCAACCAACAACATCTGAAACAAAATACATAAGGAGTATTTTAGGGAACAAATTGCAGCAGCATTCCTCTCATGCATCAATGTCTCAAATATTCTGGATTCTCCTTTGAAGAATCCACATCTAACTTAACTATAGAGCTCCAAACTGAAAAAGACAGTATGATTATGAGAACCAGAAGACAATGAGAACTGGAGAAATTAATTTTTAGCAAAAGACCATGCTTTTTTGTTTTTTGTTTGATTTTTAAAATCACATTAGTGAATCAGAAACCGGAACCTACTGATTATGTGAACAGCACAACAGTCCCTAAATATCTTTTGCTGTGATTTATTCATACTCGGTCATGGATGCATATTGTAAGTGTCCAACTGCTACATATATTGCCACAGTTCACAATTTCAGATATGCTCCCGATCCATTCACATAGATGGGGTACATTTGCAATCAGCTGTCTGCCGTTGCAGCAAATTTATAATTTAATTAATTTTCCACTGTGCATTTAGTTTTCTTTGGAATTACCTACCACAAAAATGTCTTTTAGGAAAATACTTCTAGGAAAATTGATTACTCTCTGATTAACTCATGATGAAATACTTATTCATGGTTAATGTCTCACCTGCTAGAGTTGTAAAGAGAAACAAAGGCAAATTAAAAAGAAATTAAGACCTCGGATCTGCAGGTTTTTTCCCAAAATGCCTCACCTTCTGTCAGCAGTACAACATGACAATATCACTTTTCTTACAAGACAGTAAAACTGTACTTGTTTAGACAACTTTCACAGTATCTGGCCACATCTCCTGAGCAATTTTAAAAGGCAAGGCATAACAATACTATTTTTTTAAACTGGGCTTTACAAATACCTTACAGTCAGCTTTATTCCAATTCATCCATATGTATGTAGGACAGTGATTTTGGAAAAATGCATCCTGTTAGTTCTACTTTCCCAGGGCAGATTTTAGGCACCACAGCTCAGGAGAATACTGTCAATTTTCAAGAAAGCTAAAGAAATAGAAGGGAAAGCTGAAAAGACAGAAGGGAAAAGTCTTTGGTATTATTTTAACAGACTTGTCACCTGCAATCACATCAGCAATTGTCTTTGCATCAAAAAAGGGCTCTGAGAGTTAGTAACATCTTACAGCAACTTGCCACCTCTTTCCTTGTTCCCAAATGAGTTCAAAATGCTGACTCCCCCAAAATTATTTATCTTGTAGGCAGAAAGCAGAGGAATGGGAACTCTTGAGAGGGAAGGGAGGTACTGAAAACACAGAGGAAAGCAGGACAAAGGAAGACACAGAAAGCCCTTATTCACAGGGAAGGAATGGGGACATAAAACTGTTTCTCTTATTGCTACCAGCAGTGAGAAGCTGAGCACTGCTCTCCTCCCCACAGGCTGGATGGTGGGAACGGTCAGCCAACAAGAGGAGCTGTGTGTGCTTGTGCCTGGGCACAAACACACGAACACACACCTGCGTGTAGGAAGTGAGGACAGTGAGGGACAGCGGGGCAGCCATCCTCACCCTCCCACTTTAAGCTTTAATAAATAGCTCTGAGGCAAAGAGCAGCTTCACCAGGGGCTCTTTCTATGTGGAGAGACTGTTTCCTTTTCATCTTGTAACAGGCTAGTTTAAGATGCTGAGGGTAAAATTCCTAGAAACTGGTTTTTTGCCTGATTTATTTTCCTTCAGATTTGCAGAAATCTTACATTAGCTAGGAGCTGCTATCCTGTGTTCAACATGTCCCCTGCATTGCAACCACCACTTCTCTTTTACTGGGGAGCCCTCCAATGAGTACTCAACGTCTAACAGAGTAGAACCTTCTGGAAACACAAATTTTGATGAATAATAATTCTGTTCTCCAACACACTCAAATAATGAATCATTTCATTTTCATGTAATTATTATTGAAACAGCAATGTCTACATCATAAACAAAATAAAACACCAAGTTTCTTGCCTGGTTGCCAACTAAACAGTCACCTGCAGCACAGTCAGGTTCTGCAGATGCAACAACACAACACTGCAACAGCAGTTAATAAGTCATTGTCCTACTGTATTATAGAACACCACAAGCAATCTTCACAGCTACAAGCAAGAACACGAAAAAGGATCATAGCAATTATTGGCTTCCTTTCACTCTTTGCCAGCTGTACTTCTGATCCTAACTTACCAGCCCAGCACAATCAAGACTGTCTTAGAAGATGTGGAGGAACGATGCTTTGATTAAATAAGTAATAAAAATAACTGTAACATCCTTACACAGCAATGCTGCATCCATTCCCAGGGATTTACAATCGTAAAAGCAAATGACACACTACTACTACTTGCCTGACATGTGGGTACATCATCATGCAAACATTTCCCAGAATGCTTAATAAAAACAGACGATAAACCAAAAAAAAGATAAAGTGGGCAATTTCCTCCATACTGATTAAACCCACTGCATGACTCAGAGGGAGAAATCCTGTGAAGAAAGCAGTGTTGTGATTAAAGCTGAGGTGGCTGCAACTAGCATATGGAATGAAAAACTAAGCAATGGTACCATGAAACCGTGTCTGAGATAAAACCATCTCATTAACAACCATCTTAACAGTCTGGCTATACCCTGACCTAACAATGCATGAACATGGATAGAATACTCAAGAAGATCCCAGAGATTAATTTGGTTTATACTTTTGTAGTATGTTTAGAAAAAATAAAATGTAAGGTCACTGACATTTCCCAGTTAGCCACTCATTGTGCACAGCATAAATTTTGGTCTCTATGAATTACCATAAGAGGCATAAGGTTTCTGTCACCAAAGTAAACCATTGAAAACAACAGGGCCCCTTGCACGTATGAGCTTGAGCAGTCAGAATCCACTGCAGGATTGGGACCAAGGAGACATCTTCATTAAGGGATCAGTAATGGTGCCTAAAAATGCGTCCCTCAGAAAGCCAAACCTTGTAATTAACATGTATAATATTTTCTTCTGGATGAGGTCAGCTGGAGCTCTGTAATTGTGCTCATTTATTCCTACTAATACATCTCTCATTAGGACGCACACATTCGCAGGGACTCGTCTACTTAGTTCTGGCTTGGTGTAAACTTACTATGATGGTGCAACACTGCTGCTCTGCCACCAGGTACTGGCAGCGTGTGCACTTGTCTGGACACGACACTGCCAGCCCATGCTGCTTTACTTGATGTTGCTCCAGCGCACCCACAACTTCTGAATTATGGAATCCAATCTCACCGATGTGTCACCGGGTGCCTTTGGAGTGACACCTTAACTACCAAAAAAGTGCACCAGTAACCTGTGCCACCGACTTCCTGCCTTTCCCTGAAGGGCCCTAAAAACTAAAATACACACATACATACAGGCATACACACACATCCCTTTCTCAAAAACTGGTCCAAGAAACACGACGGGTATGAAGAACTCGTGTCAGCGATGTGAAGGCACCCAGGTGAGCTTTGAACCGCCGCTCCCAGAGGCAGCTCGCGGAAAGTCAGGAAGCTCCCGTGCCCGCGGGGAGAGGCTGCAGGTGCCCGGGCCAGGGCAGCCAGAGGCGGCCCGCCTCCCGCTACCCGTCCCGCACGGAGCCGACCGGGGCCCCCCGACGGGCGGTGCCCGCCCGGCCCGGCCCCGCCCCGCTCCTCGGGGCGCGGAGGGAGCGCGGCCGCCCCGCGGTGCCGGACGTGTGCGCGGAGCGCGGCCAGGCGCCGCGGCCGCCCCTCCCGCTGGCCAGAGAGAGCCGCGTCCCGCCGGGAGCGGGGCTCGGCAGGACCGCCGCGCGGGAGGGAGGGGAGCGGGGAAGGAGGGAGCGAGGGAAGGAGGCAGTCTGGCGGCCGCGGGCGCCTCGCCGGGTCGCGCCCTGGGTCCCCGCCGCGCTCCCCGCGGGGAAGGCGCCCGGGTGCCGTCCCGCTCCGCCGCTGCCCCGGCGATCGCCGGGCGGCTCTCGCCGGCGCCACAGCCCCGTCCGTGCCGCCACCTCCGCGCTGTGCCCCGTCCCGCCGCGGCTGTTCCCCGGCCTGTCCCTAAGGCTACAGCCCTGGCCCAGGAGAAGCAGCCGCCCGGCCGCCGCTCGTGCAATGAATGGAAGCGCAGCCAGCGGTCCAGGTCCTCCCTCCCGTCCTCCCAATCCCGCAGAACTTCAGCGGTGCCGCTGCCTCACCGCTCTTGGGCAGAGGCGGCTCCTCCGCGCTGGGGCTCCGCTCTCGCCGCCGCCTCCGGCCCGCGCCCCGCCGGGCTCACCCTCCTCCGCTCCCGCCGCGACCATGCACCGAGGGAGGAGGAATGGGATCCCGGCGAGGGCCGACCCGGCCGCCCCCAGCCGGAGGGAGGGAGCCGCGCCGAGGGGCGGGGAGGGACGGGACGCGGGCGCCCTGCCCTGCCCAGGACCGGCCCCCTCAGGCTGACGTCCCCCGCTCCCACACCGCCGGCCGCGGGGGAGCGCCCAGAGCGGGGCCGGGCGGGGGCCGAGCCCGGGTGTGGAGGCACCGCGGCCATGGGCGGGCTGGCGTGCCCCGGTCGCTATCGCAGCCGGAGACAGAGGCTCTGGAAATAGCCCAAATAACCGCTGCCCGCCATTCTGGCGTTTGAATAACCAAGGTCCAGGGGTTCTCCATCTGCACCGTCCGACATACAGGCTGAGAACGGACCGGGCAGCACAACTGGCAGTGTCAGGCCCGGTACTGCCTATTGCACATCGCATCACAGTCTGCCCCACCGGACCTAGCCATAGTGGATGCACTGAATGGAAAGCAGGAGTGGTAAACAGCAACTCTTCCTATCCAAAAATTCTCTTGGTGTAGACCTTCAGAAATACAATTCATATTGCAAGAGAATGTCTAAAAAGTCTACAATGCTTCTGTTTTCAAACTTTTCCCCCTCAACATATAATTTGAGAACAAATAATTTCCCACCGATACCCCTTTAAAATCATATTTAACACTCTTCCAGTTTCCAAGCAACACTCTGATGACCCAGGCTTTTCCAGAACTTTGTGATTTTTAAAGTATCTTGAGATGTCTAATGCCAAGCACATACGTGTCTACAAGCTGTGACACTTATTTAAAGCATCTGCAGGGAAAATTAAGGTTTAGGCTTGGACATGTCTCTGCTTGCCTCTGCTATCCCACACTGTTGCACCCTTGTGTAATATGCTACTCATTATAAGTGGATGACAGGTGTCTAACTTCATACAGCTCATCTCAGTGTCAGCTTCACTTGCTAGATTTGAACTGGCTGTTGCAACAGATAAAACAAGCTGCTAAGTTGGTCAATAAAATTAATCACTTTGGGTATCTTGGAGACATTAAATGAAGTGCTACACCAGTGCAAAATTTATTTGCTGCAGCTTAAGCTGTCCTTCTGAAAAAAAGTAAGGTGTAGTCTTTTCACTGCTATCAGAACAATATCTTTCACAAACACTGGATCTACTTGAAGCTATGGCTTTTGACTAAATTATCTTTTTACTGCCATGATACAGAGCAATCAGTGCAGGCTGATCCTGTTGACTGCTTGGGACTCCAAAGTCTTCAACTCTGCAAGAGCACATTCCATCTGACTGGATTCCGTTGCTGGATCTGTGCTTTTTTAATTGGTGTCTGCTGCTCAGAAAACCAAAAGCCAGAAAATGATCTCCCAGGTACATAGGCTGAGGAAGAAAAAATAAATACAAAATTCCAAGAGTTATGTTCCTATGCCAAAAACTAGAAAAACAGAAGCAACTCTCTTCACTTACTGAAAACAGAGCGTATGCTTTCATGTCTGATTGTTGTCCAAACTTCTGTCCTTACATTACTTTTCCTCTTTCTGGACAAGTCATCAAATGCAACATTCTAAAAAAAGTTTTATTAGAGACATTTTTGAATGTTCCCATTAGAGAGTCTGAAAATCCATTTTCTACAAAATAAGGGTGTCTTTGTAAAGCTGAACTTTCTGTGACCTTTGAGAGCAGCTACTTTAACATACAATGGGAGACAACTCAATAGGTCTGTCCAAAAATAAACATCTCTTTAAAGAATATTTTAACCCTAGAGACTTCACACAAGTAGCGTACTGACAACATTATTCAATAACACAAACTTAACATATTAGTCATATTAGTTTTCAGAAAGCTCTGAGGCCTTTTGCATTCCAGTTTTGGAGGGCACTTTGAGTGAATAGCCACAATACATAGGTCTGCTGCTTTTAGAACAGTTTTTTCTGAAATAGATACATGCTCTATGCTATTTCAAAAAGACAGAACCATGATACTACAACAAAAATGTGAAACTAAAAAGTAGAAAGTCTATATTGCAAATACGCACATGGCAAACATCAGTTTTCTCACTATTAACTTTTTAAAAGATATATTTATTAACTCTTAAAAATATAAAGTTAAATGCTAATTGATTTAATAAAGCTTAGCTAGAATGAAGGGAAATAATTATTAAAGCATTGCTACTATCTTCACATATGAAGTCAGCTTTTAAACATAGACACCCACATGTGTCCAAATCACAGTTACATCACAGGAATTAACAGACTGCATCTAAAGAGTGATGTTGTGATGCTTGCTGCAGTAGTGGATCCAGTGGCAGCAGCAGGTTTTTCTTCCTTCTCCATTAATTGTTTAAAAATTGTTTGCTATTTTAAAATACACAATAGGGACAATTACACAGTGCTGCTATCAGTAAATGGTAGTGTGCAGGCTTAGCCACTGGATAAATAATTACCAATGGGAAAGATGACCCCTGATAATAAGCAAATAACCTATGGAACACTAATAAAGTTTTTAAGAAACTTGTTACTGACTTACAGCACTGCATGTAACACAAAGGGCAACCATGTCTTAGAACATTTTCATTTGGGCTAACAGATAGTCTGGACCTCATTGAATCCTGTCTGGTTCACAGCACATATTGTTACAGGTACTCTTTAGTATGCTACCTGGATGCTAAAAAGAAAACTTGTGTGGCAAGCTCAGTGCATTGGGTTGTGGGGCTGAACAAGTCCATGACATAGAGACTTGTTCAGCCCCACAACCATGAGCAGGCAGTTTTCACAAGGAGATAGGAAGCAGCACACTGAAATCCCCTTATGCAGTCTGAAGGCCAAGGATTGTGACCCTGGCAGATCTAAGCATAGCATAAAATTTTCTTAATTTGAACGCTTCTTTATTTGGAATTGGTGTGAGGAACTTGGTATTTCCTTCTATCCAAGTAGTGGGGTTTTAATGCTAAATAATTATTATATTGTCTTTGATGTGCAGCTCTAAACATTTTTATTTAGCTTATCTTAAGCCCAACTGCACAAACAAATAACTCTTCACCAGAAGTTAGCACTTATGCATTATCCAAACAGGAAACAGAGACGTCAAAGAGGCACACTTTGGATTAAGTAATATATGAGATGAAAAAGATGATATAATATTTTTTACTCCTGCTCACAGATTTTTCCAAGTATTAACTTCATGGGCATTAATTTGTTTAGTCAGTTTTCCTCCCTAAATTTTGGTTTACTTATAACCCCAATAGTAATAAGTGATCTCATTTTGCTTGATCGATTTACATTCTCCATGGACTGTTAGAATGAAGGATTATTTTACCCTGAAATTTCCCGAAGTTCACCTGAACAAATACAGCCTTGGATGTGGCCCAGAAATCATTCTCTGAAGGTTGTAAGAATAGAATATAGACAGGGCAGACAAAACAGGATAGCAGAAAGTACAACCAAAGAGACTACGACATCCAAATAACTAGCAAATAACACACAGGTTGGAAAGAAGAACAGAAATTATTTGGCTCAAAATTATGTTCTCACTTAGCCTTTGAATAGTCACTGGAAACTATTAAAATATTGGATAAGACACAAAAATTTATATATAGAGCCTACAAAAAGCTAAGAATGAACAAAGTGAATATCATGTGTACATACTGGAATTAGTAGTTAGGCTAAAGAGCAAATCAATCTCAACTTTTTAAGCTTCAGATATATTCATACTAGATTTGTTCCCTCATTGCACTTACTCTTCTGTTGCTTTTTGTTGTTGATATTTGGGGTTTATTTTTTAAGTGGCTGTTGTTCCAAAATCTTCTCAATGTGGAGGAATGGAATAAATGTTAATATTCTATTCAAATGAACGATCTGATTACAGAAACACAAAGGGAAGAATTTTTTGGAGTAAAATAATGTCAAAGAAAAAGCTGCATTTGGAACTTGTTCCAAAACTCCAAGGAAAATAGGAAAAGAGGAGTTAATAGGCAGAAGATGGTGGGAAATATATAAAAGGGAGGACTCAGCTCTGGAAGAGTGAGGAAATTGAGTTGGGACATGGGTGTTATTTTATTGTGGGTTTTTTGTTCTTCTACCCAAAAGAAAAGTAAGATGTAAAACATCAGCTGAAATAAATCTTCGAGAATGTGTCCTTCTCAAGTAACACTTGTTTTGATTTGCAGCTTCAGAAATTTCAGTTTTTCTAAGCACTTAGCTATGATATTTAATTTTTCAGTAGTTCATTGCTTTAGCGTCAACCAGTATATGGTGTTACAGGGAAGAATTTATTTATTTACTGTATAGCTGTATCAGTAGGGACAAAAAAAAAAAAAGGAAGACATTTGAAGAATGGGAAAACCCCTCTGTTCATACTGGAGACTTCAGGAGCAAACAAGAAAAGAGAAGAGGCTGCAGTTAAGCTAAAAAGGTCATACAAAATTATCACTTTATGTTGTAGACAATGAAAAAGGTGCAAGAGCATCCACAGTGGATAACAGCAATACTTTATTGAATGTATAGACTTCAGAGGAAAGGAATTTTATAGCTCAGGTAAAAAATAAAGTTAATGTGAGAATTGTAGCCATAGATAAAGAAAAATTATTATTGTGTACATACCTCAAAGTTGTTATGTACACAATCAATGTACAGTATCTAGTCTTACCGGGATGTGATGACCTAGGGAAAGATCAGTGCTGAGCAGCAGAAAGCGCGGAGATGTCTGCAGAGAGAAAGGAAATAGGAAGAAGGCTTGGAAGGAAGGACTGGAAGCTGTCTTAAATCATACTGAATCTGAACTGATTACTTAATTCCAATATACCCAGAGACATATCTTGAGATTTTCAACTCTACAGAGATGAAGGAGAAAGAAGTCAAGGGTGACTTAGGAAAGCTAGTCTAATAACCTATTTAGATAGGAAGAATAAGTGAAAGGAATGAAGGACAGGGCTGCTTAAGCCTCCGTGGGAAAGTGATGAATAAAGCACTCTTCCAGACATACAGACCAATGCAAGGCAGCAGCAGGCATTCATCAAAATAAAAACAAATTGAAAAAATAAGGTCAGTTAAAACAGTGTCTCAGACTCTGAGACCTTTAAAAAGAAAGCAACATGAGAAGAAACAAAGGCTTGTGGTGGGTGTCTGAGATATCTGTTGACCCTGGCTGAGTATTCTGGGGTCTCACATTCCATCTCTGAACCAAGCTTGGTGTTTTGGGGACACTAATTGTTAAACTAATTTGGGACTCTGCCAATGTGGTACAATAGAAGAATCTACCACTGTATTTTAAGAAGGCTTTAATTGAATGCA